AAAAAACACTGATCATAAAAAGATAGTTATTCCAAATCTTATTATTTTCTTTAACCCTGTGGTGATGGGGCCTGATGTATTTGCCATATACAGCCAGCCCTCACACTGCAAGTCATGACATGTTTACATGTCATAGGCTGTTACGTCATAATGGCTATAGCTGTCAGTTTCACCTAGGGGTTAGATATAGAAAGGAAGAGAAGAGGGAGAGACATATGAGGAAATGTTGAGAGAGGGGAACAGGAATATGGCTAAGTGGAAGGGTTTGTTGAGGGTGTACATCCTAAACTTAAGGACAATTCTTGCTTCTATACTTGTTCCATTCTTTCACTTGTCAAAAGAGGGTCGTAAGACACTTGTACGATGAAGATGAAAGGAAATTAGAGGGCGGGGTTGGGAAGGGAGACGTAGCTGGAAGAAACTTGCCAAGAAACTTGCTTACCCTCCCTTTCTCTCACTGTCAGTTTTTGAGAGGATGTGCTTCATTGTGTCAGCACAGATCAAACATGAAATTACACATATATTCAGTCAGTTGCCATCAGATTTTGGGGTTTAAATGTTGAGAAGTGTTTGTACTACAGTATATATCCTTGAAGGGTCTTTTGATTATAGGAAAAGAAAATGTTGTACTATGATTGATTTTATACAAATACAATTTTTTTGTTGATTTTTAAAAATTATGTATAAATGACCTCTTTGATGAGGACCACATTTTTTACTGGATATCTAGCTTGCTTCTTGCAGTTGTAGTCCCTATTACTTCCACAGTGTTTTACATGTCTGTTATTATGATGTTATAATTTGGTTAAAATCATTTTTGATATCTGAAGATATTAAAGCTGCAACAAAGGTCAACGTCAAAGTACTTATAAAAAAGTCAAACCAGGGGATAGTTTCAAGATTGGAAAGGTTTATTTTTAAAATGTGATGATTTTGTCATCTGTATTCAAACAAAAGATGTTAAATATTTCATATGTCTAAGGATCTCAAAAAAATTGTGTCAAATTCTTACTTACTGCCTGCATTCTATAAACTGCCATTGATTTTAGAAATTTTTTTATGATTCCAGAGATTGCTCGAGGGTCATTTTTTTGATGTGTATACCTGTCGCCTCTTCCCTTCGGGCATTGTGGTGCTGTCAGGAGGGGGGGACATGCAACTCAGAATATGGGATGCAGCCACCGGGCAGTGTCCTGTTGTTCTAAAGGGCCACACAGGAGCTGTTCTCGACACAGCTTTTGTTGATCGTGGGAAGAATGTGATTTCTGTCAGCAAGTGAGTTTAGGCCATATAAAAAAAACGATTAGTTTATAGTGATGTTTTTGTTGTTTTCAGCTTATGCAGCAGTGGTTCTCAACCTTTCTAGTTGGGCAATTAATGAATATATATTCTAGACTTCTGTGACTTGCAACTGTTTACTCCATTAAAGTATGAATACAAATTTGTTAATGGGGTGTATAGTTATTTTCTTCCCTTGAAAATACACTTAACCATAAGATACTCATAGGAAATTCATTATTCTCTAATTGATCAGAGATTATAGGCTTGATTATCTGCCCAAAAAGCCAGGATCTTCAAAATATTAAGGAGCACATTTGAAAGGTAATTGTAACAGGTTGAGAACCACTGCTATGTAGAGTTGGCTGTTTTATTCTATAAATTCTTTATGGGTCTGTGAACTTTATGTATTTCCAGTGATAACTTTTAAATAGGCTGCAAGATGAGTACTTAGGTCAGTATATACATAGCATATCTTACCATTTTTATATTTCTGTAGCTTCTGTTTTTTTTTTTTTTTTTTTTTTTTTTTTTTTTTTTTTTTCGAACACATTCTCAGAGAAAATATGACGGTCATAAGTATGAAAAGACATGAATGAGAATTGATATTTTTATACTGTAAGAGATGTATGTGACTCATTTTAATTATACCTTCATCAGAAATATGTGCATTTTTGACAAAGATTTGTTTAAAACTGATCAGATACATTTCTTGCACCATATAGATATTTATGCTCATTCATAGCCTACATTTTTCAGTATATGTGACCATGAACACTGTTCATTGATCAGTCAGTTTTCTTTATAACTGATACTTCTGTAAAATTAGACAAAAAATTGCATTGTCAGTACATGCCTAATGCAAAATGTGAAAATGGGACTTTGCCCTATGTAATTTTTTTTAAAGGCTGTATTATTTGATTAAACAGCATTGATGATAACACTTGACACCATATTACCAACTAAGGTGGTACAATAAAGATTATAACGACAGAGGTGGAAAAAGTTGACTTTTTTATTTATTTGAATTAGAAACCAACTTAAGCACCTTGCATGTATTATCTTCCTTGCAAAAGAGGTATCTCTGAAATTTGGTGTACGATCTATATTTAAATTACGCTTTGCCTCAGGGATGGAACAGCAAGACTTTGGAACTGTGGACAAAGTAAATGCATAGCAACTCTCCTGACAGCAGAATCAACAATAACATCTTGTGCAATAA